TAAAGTCACGAATTCCAGTTGACTGATGATTATTATTTATGACAATGATCATAAATACGTTCATCGATTACTAGGATTATATTAAGGAGAATATATTAAATATATTAAATATAATATTTATCCTACTTTTTATTAACTCTATAAATGTCTATGTATATTAAATTATAATTCACCCAAATTATAATGTCAGGCCGCGCAAACGCGCGGGTCGCGTACTAGTTTATAATGAACAAGAGGTAGTAATTATTTGTGGTAATTGAATAGTTTATTTATGTTATCATTTTCCCTGTGTACGCCATGCACAGAGCCAGTCTTCGAGTAGGGCGGACCGGGCAACCGCTCAGGCCCCCAACTTACCCCAGGGCCCACTATTATTAATTACTGATATATATTAATTATATAAAAAAATAGTTTGAATAGCTATCTTTTCTTAATTATTTGGTAAAGATATTTAATTGTTTTTTTTCCTCATTTGACAAATTTCATGAAATAAATAATTATGAAAAATTAGTAGTAAGATTAATATGTTTTTACATACGTTTTCATATTCTTTTTATTCTTTTATAAAATTTTCTCTTCTTGCTTGAATATAGAGAAATTGTCATTTTGTGAGGAACAATTAAATAATGTTACTAATAGTCATTAGAAGAGTCGGTTGCAATCAACTCATTTTAAGACGAGATTTTTTTTTTTTTTTTTTTTGGAACGATAGAGGAACTATTATAAACCAAGCGTACAAAGTGCGAATAAAAAGACAAAGCTCCCAACGGGAGAATGAAAAAAAAAACCTAAAACTGAATACTGGGAGGACAGGTCAGACGACCGCCTAGAAACTCGACTCTAGCAACGCTAGAAACCAAAAACAAGACTCACAAGACAACTACTACAATCAAACACAAATAAAAAACTAGAAAGCTCCCCATAGGAGAATCGAGACGGGAGTTGCTCCCCACAGGAGAATCAAGGTTGCTCCCGCTCATACTTACACGGATCAGCTGATCCAAACCAAAAACACAAGGACCTAAACAAACAAGCTCCCAAAGGAGAAACCACAAACACAGACAACGGACACACTAAACACAAAAACAAAAAAAAACCAAGCCCTTCCACTGAAGCATATCTGAGACGAACCGACAGTCACCAAATCGACCCCGGAATAATCCCTTAGCCCAAGAAAGCTGACCCCTCCACTGCCTAATCGCCTAGCTGAGCCGGATCCAGTGCATCGAGATACTTCAGCAAAGTCGATTCTCCCCGAAACCGCAACACCAGAAAGCTCCCAGACGCTGCAGTATCGAGCCGACTAACACCACTAGCAACCTGGTACCAACAGCAAACACACCAGGACCCAACGCCAGAGAGGGCACCCAACCATCGCAGTCCGGGTCGACTAACACCACTAGCAACACCGTACCAGTCGGTAAGTACCTGGGACCATCATCCGAGGACCTGGGAGGGGAGCAAATCCGAAGAAGCCGCCCTAACTACTCCGGCCAGAAGCCGAGAGACGCCGAAGCCGCACCCAATCCCTTCCCGCAACACCACAGCACCTCACCTCGCCCAAAATCCACCGCCACTCCCCGCAGCAACTCATCCCCGCACAGGCCGTCGAGAAACAGAGGCGGAGCAGCACCGCAGGACCAGAGCTCTGGAGTCGCGCTCTCACCATAAATCTGCACCGGAGCATCAGGGCTGCAGCTAAGCAGAACCGCGACAACAACATAACGGGGAGGCGTGGATTTGGGTGAAATTTGTTCAAAATCGCATAAGGGCGACGACAGGAAAGGGACGAGTGGCCAGAGGACGACGGCCGGCGGAGCCTGGAAGCCCCATGGAAGGCAGCGAAATGGAGAGACCGGTGCCTAGGGTTTGATGATTTTGGGGGAGACGAAGGCAGACGAAGCAAGAGTTGATTAAAAAAGTTGAAAAAGATTTTAAGACGAGTTTCAACTTATCGTTATTTAGTTTTCTTAGATATTAAAACTAATAATTTTTTTTTTTTCTTTTTTACTTTAAGATTAAAAATTATTCAATAATTTAAATTGAATATTACATACTCCAGTGAATTTTAGATATATATTTAAGTAAAGGAAAGGGTTAGAGATTTAACGTTTATTTTTTGTTTGAAGAAAGAAAATATTTCTTCCATTTTTTCATTTGTTATTTCTAAATTGTAAAATTTAGTTATAATAATACTTTATATTTCACCAATTATATTGTATCTAGTAATGTTTTGTATGAAAAAAGAAAATATTTCTTCCATTCTTTTCATTTGTTATTTCTAAATTATAAAATTTAGTTATAATAATACTTTATATTTCACCAATTATATTGTATCTAGTACCATTACGTTTTTAGAATT